GATCCTGAAATAAACAAGACATGACAGTAATCTATAAAATATTCTTCTGCAATCAGATAATGAAAGAGGTGCAGAACAAGATTTGTTTTCCTTTTGATATTTCTTGATTTGTTTTGTGTTTTTCCGTTTTTCTTGTTTACCAAGCCAACAAATAGCAAATTTCCATCTTTTCAACTTTCCATTAATATGATTATGATGACGGTCAAAATTAGTTTCTTCTCACTTTTTGGATTAAATTGCAAAATAACAGTTAAACTTTAACTAGTCTATTTTTTAATGTTGTGACGTAAAGTTATGGACACATGCAGTGTTTCGCAATATTTACATTTCTTTTTTCTACGTACTGAAACTTTACATTGGCTATGGAGTCAGGTAACAAAACTAAGGTTTGTGGTGGTCTACGTTGTGTTGCAGGCACTCTAGACAATAAAAGCTGTTGTAATGACAGTTATAGTAAGGGTATGAGCATCCATTGTTTTCCAAAGGACCTTGCTGTACGCCGGTGATGGACTTAATTTGTTAGAAAACGTAGGCCCAATTTTGACCCATAAGAATTTTCAAACCACGTCCTCTGCTCAGATCATTTTGAGCCAGGTTGCTGCACAAGGAGCATAACTAGTCTAATTGGTAATGATGTTTCAAAAACAAAAAGGTTTTTACAAGAGATGCCGTTGAGACAGTATACATGGCTTCAACCGGAAATGAAGGAAATTCAACGTCTCAGTCTAAACTGGAAAGAAGAAAGGTAAGATTTACTTTTTTTGTCTACTTCATTTTTCAATTTTTTCTTTAAATTAACGTTTATAATGTTGGCATTGCAATTGAAGAAACAATATTTTGTATCTTCTAAAAAAGTCAAGCCCTTCCAATTTGAAGCTTTACAAAATACATGTGTGCAAATAAAACATTCATCAAATTTGATAGATTCACCAAAATTTTTTTACAGGGGTAAATAAGTAGTTTTTGCCGACACAAAGGATGCCTCTCATGCATTAAGGGTGTGGTCAAAAGATAAATACTTTTATATGCTGCTTTTATGTGTTTCTGTTTCAAAGTTCATACTTAAATGCCATACTTTGAAAGTTCAACTACTACATGTCAATGTTAATAAGTTACAATTGTTGCAAAAAGGTTACAGGGAGAGTACAAAATTTTTTCTTTTTTCCGGGAGGGGGTATCCCTTGTTGGGGGGAGGGGAGGGGGTATCCCTTTGGCGATGCCCCTGGATTCCATAAATGTAGTAGCTCAAATTCACATTCTGTTTTTCAGAGTGTAAGAGATGCAATGAATTTAGTTTCTGTAGCGGATACACAGACAGACCAATTCGAAGAGCCATTTTGCGACAAAGCAACATCCTCTAAAACTGATTAATCGCAGACAGTTTTTACAGAGGCCAGCATGGAAGCAGCTCCATTTGTAGATGTGTCAAGTCTATCCTGTCAAGATTGCAAGGTGAAACATCGAGATTGAAAAGTTTGAACCAAAAGGTGAATCGCCAAAATCTAAAAATAATAAGACAGAAAATGAAATTAACAAGTCAAATAGATGTAAGTTCACTGTACATAATAATATTTGCTGATATGCCAAATTTCAATTCCATCCATAAAAATTTTTTTTTGTAACCTATTCTCATTTACTCTTTGTTTCTAGGCAATCAATTATCTAAAACGTAAAGTAAAGAAATTCAGAGAGTCAAAACAAGGACAGCCAACTAAGCCTGTGAATAAAATGAACGTTGAAGAGGCAGATAGTGATTCTGTTTGGCTAAAAATGATTAGGAGTGGAATCCAGTAAGAGATGAAGATGAATCTGAAGACAGTGTAGAAGCATTTGTAAATGGGATAGAAATAGACAGTGACGAAAATGATGAGGATGTAAAAGTAACCAATGAAACAAGAGGGAACATTAGGTAAAACTATCCTGATTACATCATTGTCTAATCAAATTTCTAATTGAAAGTGAAATAATATGACAGAAAAGGTATGAACAACATTTTCCACCACACTGTAATATTCAATTAGGGAAATTTGACAATTTGTAAACAAAAGAAAATCCTACGGAAGAAATATCTGTGTAATATTGATCCATATCATATGTAATTTGTTAAAATAAGTAAAATAAATTTGTTGGAAAGAAATAGTTTAATAGTAAAAGAAAAATAATTTGCTGAAATTTCACATTCATCTGACAAATGCTATTTTACTTTCCAGCAATGATGGAACCTACACTGTCAGGAGTGAACCAAAGTTGATTGTATTTTACTCGCTGCTATTCAACCTGTTTAGTATGTTATGTTTCCGATGTAAACCTGATTATCCGTCTGTTTCAATGAAAAAGAATGGAACCATGGTGACAATAAGGCAAGATTGTTCGGCAAGTGGAGACAATGCATTTACCTGGAAGTCCAAGCCAACAATGAAGGGTGGTCTTCCAGCAAGCAATGTGTTGCTAATTTTTGGAAGCTTTATGGCAGGCGCCTCAATCAGCAAGATACTTCTGGTTTTTGGACATATGGGATTATCAGCATGTACCGCCAGAACCTACTACTATCATCAACAGAAGTTCCGTTTTCCATCTGTTCTAAGACATTGGGAAGTCTATCGTTCAAAACTGGTGAGTGAGCTTGCCAATACACCACTTTGACGGACCGCGGCCTCGTTGTCAGCACAGAGACTGGGTCTAGTTTTGGGGTCAAAAAATTTTGGAGCTTTGTACGAGTATGCTGATGAAGATGGCGTGTTGCTTGTGATTATCGAGACTATTATCTTCGTTTTGCGCCGCCGTTTTCATTTGTTTTTCGCTGTTTACTTGCTGAAATTCGTTCAGTTAACTTTTGAAGAGTTTTTTTAAAACTTTTTCAATACAATGCGTCGAGACCTTGCAGAAATCCAGTGTTGGCCTAAATCTTATTGTTATGGATTTGGCCACGATTTCACGAATGAAAGTCAAGGAATTAAAAGAGTTTCTGCGACTGCGTGGACTGCGTGTAACAGGAAAGAAAGAAGAATTAGTTGCAAGGGTTTTTGTTGCTGTTGAAAATGATGTTCCTGTTCAGAAAACTGCGGAAGAAGTTCAACAGGAAATTTCTGTTGAATATGATGCCAAATTGCTGTCGCATCCCTGACCCGCTCAAGCTTGAACAAGGATGGCTAAGTGAGGAAGACGGGGTAAGGTACTGGCCAGTCACTCTTTACCCAGACATATTCAACTTTTTAGCTTTCCATCCTAATGAGCTTGCTAGTTCTGATCTCAGCGACTACAAAATTTCAAAAGCTTACTGCTATTTCTCACAAGGATGGTTAGCCCCTTTGAAGTTTAACAACATCAGTGGAGACAGTAAAGTTTGTTTGCTGAGGGGAACTTGTAGACCCTCACAGAGAATAAATGATACTCCACATAAACTATGGCTTTGTCTCTGTAAAGAAACTGGTAAAATACTAGTAACTCATTGCACTTGTATGGCCGGCATGTCTCAGACATGCAATCTTGTGGCTGCTGCTCTCTTCTGTGTTGAGTCAGCTTGCAGAATGGTTTTGAATAATCCATCTTGTACTTCAACTGCATTTCAATGGCTACCTAACAACAAGGCTGTTGAGCCAGTAAAAATAAAAGATTTGAAGTTGAAAAGAGAAGATTTTGGCAAACGAGGAAAAGAGCAGGCAGGCTTAAACACAGCTAAGAAGAGAAAATTCAATCCCATAGCAAAGAGCACTTACAAGCTAACCTTTGAAGATGTTGCTGCTGCCTTGAAAGCAGTTTGCAAAGAGAGTGATTCTATCTTGTTTACTGCCTTGCCAAAAGTGGATTCTCAGGTACCGCAAGGAGCAGAAGCTGTGAGTGTTCACATTTTAATGCTTCTGAGAGTGGGGAAGATTTTTTGGGACGCTCCAATAGTTACTATGATGAAGACAAAATTAAATGTATAGAAAAAATAACCAGAGGTCAAAATGAAAACACAAATTGGAATCTATTTAGAAAGCATGTTATTACTGCCTCTAAAGCACATGATGTTAAAGCTAGACATGCAACATTACAAAGAGCCAAGGATACCAGTGATGTGAATCTTCTATCAATTTTTGATAAGATTTCTGGGAACGATTTGAACTTAAGTGTTCCTGCAGTGAGATATGGACAGACTATGGAGAATGAAGCAGTTGATTCATTTGTTGAAAATTTCAAGGTAGCTCACAAAGATGTTTCTGTGACTGAATGTGGTTTGTTTCTTTTGAAAGATATGCATTTTGTAGGTGCTAGCCCAGACCATATAATTGAATGCTCATGTTGTGGTACAGCCTGCCTGGAAATTAAATGTCATTTTTCTATAAGACATACAACACCTACAGACAAAATGGTTTTGAACAGAAACCATAAATATTTTAAACAATGTCAAGTGCAAATGGCTTCAGTTGGGTTATCAACCTGTCATTTCTATGTTTGGACACCTCATGGCAGCTTTCTTGAGAAGATTAGTTTTGATGAGATGAACTGGTTGCAGCTGAAACACACTTTGGAGGACTTTTATGTTAACTATTATGTTCCTTATCTGTTTAATGAATAAGGTTTAAGCACCTTTACAGAACTATTTGGCTCAGTCTATTTACTATTTTGCGTGTTGCGTGTGTCCATGAATTTTATTGCATAAATTTTAATTGGATTCTGGTGGCAGCTATGGACATGATATCAACTTTCTGAATGGATGTACTGTTGTAAAAGTCAAGCAGGTCTGCTCCATCGAAACATACCTGAGTTATTCTGCTGATATTAGGTTCAAATCAAAATAATGTACATGAAAAATAATGATTAGCCCATGGGTGGGGATCATTATTGTAACTACACCCAGCCTCCACACACACCTAACAGTCCCCAAGTGGACTTTTTACTGCATGTGCAGAGCCATATTTTGACTAAATGTTTAATGTCTGACTGTCATTTTGCTGCCTACTCTGTGCTTCTTTACAAAATATGTCTTGAACAGAAATCTTGCCTGGTCTTTAGGGCATTTATGTAGCCAAACTAATGATTGTATTTTATTTTTGAACATGAGCAAATGAGCCTTTTAGTACAAGCAATGTTTTAAGACTTCTGTTATGCTGTTAGGTAGTTTGAAATAAATTTCTAGTTTTATTTCTAAAATTCAAATGTGTTTAATTTCTTTTGTGTATTTTATCATTTCCGGGAGGCAGAGGGGACATGGTCACTCTTTTCAAATCTTGTAGGGATATGCTAACATTTTTTGTTTTCATAAAACTTTTTTAAAATTCAGTAAAAATTCTTTGGTTTATAAAAATTTCATATATATACTCTTTCAAACAGTGATACACTTCTTAAACATTTTTACAATTATGCTTTCTATTTAAATGTTTTAGGACTACATTTTATGGATAACACAACATCACTTGCCTTAACTTTTCAAGGTGCGCAATAACCATTTAGCCAGCAAAAATTCACATTACCAGAACCATAAACTATATGTACCATGGTTGTAGAAAGTAAGTAACTTATTTGAAAAAAGTTTGATTTCTTATTGGAAATTGAAATTGTAATAATTCTTATTACAATAAAGAGGCATGGATGAAACAGACACAAAACTGAACTGAGGTTTTTCCTTGAGTGCTTTCCTTGAGTTTCAAAAGATCTACTGATCTACTGTAATGAGAGGTATATCTTTCATTCATTTGATTTCTTTTATTTTAGTCAGTGGGGGCTGAATGTTGCATAAAGCAGCACACACTTGTATAATGCCATCTGCTAGAGGTAACATGTTTATTGGCATAATGTTTTTTATAATTTTGAATTCTTTTATCCTGTTGATGGCTCTTTCAACATGAATCCTCAAATTTGCAACCATTCTTGTCTTTTTGCACTCATAGGAAGTCATCTGTGACTTCACTCTGGCACCTGGGGGGACATTTAAAGAACAATAGAAATGGAGTAAATCCTCTTTCGAAACAATAGAAATCATCGCCAGGATCCAAAAGATTATAAAGTCCACTATTGGAACAAATAAACTGGTCAGATGTTCTTCCACCATAACAACTAGATAAAAACATGATATAGCCATGAGGTGATATTGCTACCAGTACCTTCAGTGTATTGTGCTTTTTGTAATCAGACCAGGTACTAGCTTGAGCATGTAATGACTTGGACCTCTCCATGAATATATCAGTGCAGTCAATAATGCATCTTGTTTTCGGACTTATCTTTTTAAAAGAATCAGGGAGATTGCTTCGAATGACATCTCGAGGTAACCACCTGACTAAAGCTTTTCCATAAAGTGCTGCCAGCATCTTAATCCAAGTGGTGAATATATTTGAGCACACACCAGGTGAGATTCTGAATCTGTCTGCCAGATCCTCATTCATCAAACCCAGCCGCAATCTCATAAGGACGAGCAAAAACTGATCTCTCAGGGGCACTTTTTGATTTCTCCTTTTTTTATTCCCGATGTATTTTGATGGTGAAACAGTTCTTGTTCCCCTCCAGTACACCATGGATGGCAAACAAGGTTCAAGTAGGTCAAAAAGCATGTTGAATAATGCAACAGCTTGAATGCCATTATAAAACTTCATCTTTGAGTCTGACCTGTTTTTTTCTCAAGAAAATGCTTTTGGTTTATTCTTCTGTTTTGAAAGCTCGTTCACCTTCCTTTGCAGCTTGCAATTTTCAGCCTGCAAGAGTCCCACTTCTTTTCAAGGGATAAAATCTGTACTGCCTACTTATGGTGTGGTATAAATTTCACACATTATTCAATCTAATTTGAATAGTTTTTCAAAATACCATAAAATGTTTTTGGTTTTCAACAGGATAAGGATGTGCTGCTGTTTGAAGCCAAGACCGACCTAGCAACCATCAGCAATAAATATGGAAGAAAGAATCCGGGCTCACTTTTGGATCAATTTCCTAATCGCAAAAGAAAGCAGGAAGCCATTCAGTATTTCAAAGAGAGGCAATCAAAAGACGTGGTTACACTTTATCCCCATCACATCAGAAAATGCCTTTTGACTTTGTTTTCCATCTGTCAATGTCCAATGACTTTTGACTATGAAATTGAGCCTCTAACCCTGAGCTTATTTATGTTATCACCTTTTTTGGTCCTGCAGTCCTAGATATAACATACAAACAAATGGGTTTGATGTCAGCCAGAGACTACCATGCACCTTTGCGAACACTCTAACCGTCATTGCATAAAATTGCTGCTGAAAAACGAGAGACAAGCCGAAGTCAAGCGTTCATTATTTTTTTCGCTTGAATCTGTTTGTAGATTCTTATGAGCTGGTCTCAACCATGATAGACAGGTCATTTGCTGGAAAAATTAGGCCTTTTTTCCTGTCAAGGTTTTCTCTTCAGATTCCTTGCCAAGAAACATTTTGGAAAAGATTAAGACTTGGGGCATGTTGAAATTTGCCGAAAAATTCAAAATGGCGGAATTTTTCAAAATGGCGGACTTTTTACACTGTTTTGGCCATAATGCTCCGATTTAATCTTCTAAGAAAAGCATTACTTGGCATCAAAGTGTCCTATTACGTCATAAACATATTTGTTGCCATGAATGATCATCAAAAATTCAAAATGGTGCTCTTAAGGAGGTAGAACTAAAAAGAAATCAACAATTTTGGCGCTTCGCTCCATACTAACAAAGTTACTGTGGTCATATATTTTTATACGATAAACGCAGGATACACGGGATAGTAAGTCACCTCAGGAATTCATGCCCATGTCTTTAGGTCATTTCATGCTCTCCCAAATGTTGACATTAACTATTTTAACGTTTATAAACAAAGGTATAAATTGCACTATTTTGATAACCACAAATGCAACTTGAGCTTTTGAAATGTAACCGGCAATGAGATAGTATCTTTCGACTGAGTAGCTTCAGAATTTATCTGTGAAGTTTGGATGAGTTTTCCCCGTGAAAAGATGTGATTTGAAGACCAAAGGATACATTCAAGGGTACTATGTAGTTGAAAGTTGTCGACAATATTCTCTGTGATTTTCTTAGCTTTACTAAGAGGGCTTGATAATAGAAGATGCTGAGACATTTTAAAGGAACGGAAGACAACTTTGCTGTGTTGAAATTAAACTGTTAAACACTGTATGGTTATTGCAGCATTGGAATTATGTCGGCAAATCCCTACCTGCAATTCGATGGTCCTGGAATTAATCGGTGTATTTTATGCGATTTGCTTATTGATGACAAGGACAAAAAGGCTATCCAGTCAATAGCTTTTGATACCATTCAGAAGAATGCTCGTCTTTGGTCAAAAATCGACAAGCGAGTTTGTATTGAACAACCTTACAAGGCATTTCGTGAGGCATCATTGAGGCTTCCCCAATGTTTCACTGAGACATTGTACACTCATAAAGGATGCGCAGTTTCTTTCAGAAGCAGGCTGAAGACAAAACAGTTGCAGTCGGCAAAGCTCGAGGAAAATGATGCCTTATGTGATGATCAAGAATCACGTAAAAGTTATAGCGATGACGAATCATTAGTCTCCACAAGTAGGAAGAAGAGAACCAAGCTTTTACGAGAAAAAAGAACTGAAAAATCTTGTTTGATTTGCAACGAACGTTCGAGTGACGATGCACTTCCATACAATGATGGGGGATTGGCACGCTGTTCGGAAGAAAAAGCAGCACTAAAGTTGAAAACCTTGGTTGCCAAGAAGTTGTTAGATGAGCAAGATCGCCATTATGAAGCAGCTAAGAGAATTGACATCTTACTAAATGGTGCCTCCTATGATGTTTTTGCAGCAGATGTCTATTATCATAAGAAATGTTATGCGTCATTTTCTTATTCGTATGACAAGAAGGAGACATTGGCATATAACGCGGAGCAGGAACGGAAAGTTATGGGGTACTTTGATGAGATGATTAGGCGAAGGGTGATTCAAGATAAAGAATCCTTTCTCATGACTGAGCTGTTAAAAGACTTTGCAGAGATCAGTTCTGACTTTGGTCTAAGCGAACCACCTATAAGGCAAACAAAGTATCTGAAGACACATATTGAGCAAACCTTTCCAGATGAAATTGCCTTTTCTAAAGTTGGTCAGAAGAAACAAGTCCTGCATTCCAACACAGTTGGACCTGTTACCTATGTCGAGGCTGCATTGAAGGGTCATGGTTTGAGAGAAGTTGATCTAACCAAGGCTTTTGCCAGACTTGTAAGAAGAAAACTGGCAAACAGACATCCACTTACCTGGCCACCAACAACTGAAGAGCTTTGTGAGTCTTTGGAGACTTTTTTCCCGCTAGAGTGTATTTTCAATGCAATTGCTCTGTCGTTGAATGACAAATGGCCTATCAATCAAAATGGGATTGTCAGTGTACCCAAGGACTTGAATCAAAAAATATCCAGTCTTGCTCAGGGATGGGAAGCACTGACATTACACGGCAGGTCACCTTTAAACATTGCGATGGGCTTGACCGTTAACAGATTAACCGGAAGTAAGGAGACATCAAGACTATTGCACTGTGGTGGTATTGGAATATCTTACAATGACATCAGGTTGCTTAGCAATTCTTGGGCCGAAGCGGTAACAATGGAGCATGCTCAGATGCTTCCACCAGGATTTGTAAAAGGTAGAGCAGTTCACATTACTTTTGATAATTCTGATGGCCGACAGCAAACTTTGACTGGGTCACAGACGACGCACCACACCACGGGAACGATTTCCAACCATCATTTCCTGGTGATAAAGGGACACGTTTATATGAACCATGCGTAGATCTATTACACCACGGAAAGAAAGATTTTGGTTCATATGTTATTCCAAAGAAACGGGCAGACCCTCCAGCAATGCCTGATTTTGAAGACAAATTCAAAGATTCACCGCTAATCGAAGAAGCATTTTATCGTGATGTAGCTTGGGTATTGTGTGGAGCTGTAAGTGAAGAGATGCTTCTAGAAATACAGCCTGAATTAGACACTGATGCTCTCCAGCCAGTTGGATCATGGACAAACTTCATGAAAGCTGTAACAGATTGCACTACAAGAAGGTGCAAACTAGAATATCTTCCTGTTATTCCTCTTCCTCCACATGATAACGTCGTCAAATGGTATATGGACATGATTCAGAAGATGCTTGATCAGCTAGAAATAGATCATATTTTTCTTCATGCAGATCAAGCAATTCATTCAAAAGTTCTTATCATTCAATGGCTAAACCAAGGGAAATACGATCAAATCATTACCTTCTTGGGCGGCTTCCACACGATAATGGTCAATTTGAAGATCCTTGGAAAGAAGTATTCTTGTCTCGGACTCAAGGAATGGTGGATAGAAGCCGATGTAATAGCTCAAGGGTCTGCTGATCAAGCAATGGAGGGAAGGCATTACCATAGAAGCATAAGGCTACACAAACAGGCTTTTGAAGCCTTGCTTCGCTATCGAATGAAGGGTGTTCTGAACAAAGGTGTATTCACTCCAGGATTCAAAAGGCAAATTGTAAATTTGAGACTTGTCCAATCAACCGCCAATTTAAAGTCAATAACTAATTCACCAGAATTCAAACAGATGATAAACAATTTAACAGATGTCTTTGGCACACAAGCTCAAATGATGATGCAATACATTCGCGATGTCTCGGCTATGCTATGCTTCGTCAGTGCTGTAAGAGAAAATACAATTGAGCGCCATTTAGCAGCAGAGCGTGTTTTGTTGCCAAAGTGTTTTGCATTTGGGCATCAAAACTATGCCCGTTATCTTACATTTCAACATGTCAAGCTGCAGGATATTAGATCAAAGCAAGAAGGAGCATGGAATGACCTTCTGGTTAATGGCTTTGGTGGTTCAGTCTCTGGCAAACCATACTCGACTATCCATGGTGACTTGATAACCGAAACAACCATTAACAGAGAGGTAAAAGTCAGAGGGGGTCCAATGCAAGGTGGATTTAGCACCAATGAGAAGGCTGTTGATACCTTTGTAAAGACCAGTCATTTCATGGCTACTGTTCGAGCCAAACTGAAAGAACGATTTGATGTTTTGACGCAGTCCGTTCACAAAGAAACAACTATTGGTGCGATAAAGAAGCACGAGGCAATGATCGAAGGTCTTGTTTTGCAGCTTGATAAGTATTTTGATCCATTCCTAGATGGTCCTGCAAGACATTTCAAAACTGGAGCCGAAATCGAGCCATCGGTCATTGAGGGACTTCTGAATTCATCTGCAGTAGGAGAAGCAATGTATGCTGAGTTTATTGACGAAAGACTCAAAGCCAAAGAAAATAGGGTTAGTATATTTGCATCAATAAAAAAATCCTAGGATCAAAACTGGCATGGAGCGGGCAAAAAAGATTCCCAAAGCCATAAGCATTCTCAAGGAGGACAGGCAAGCCTTTGGATCACTCGTTGGTAAGGCTACAAGTCCAAGAGACGCACACTCTTATCCTCTTACAACTGTTCCACTAGCTTTAGCATCACCTGACAGTGATCTCAGACAAGGCTGCAAAGCTGCATTACGAAATTTTCTGATAGAAGAATCTTTAGCAGAAGTGCAAACACCTTTGTCTAAAGCAGCATGGTTAGTTGACGGCATGGCTGCAGTAAGGTCAATCAAAAGTAAACCTACTTGGGGAGAGTACGCAAAGGCATACTTCAGATTCTGCACACCTGCAGCCTCTTATCAAGCACATTCAATTGCTGTGATATTCGATAATTACACACAGGAGACAACAAAACAACTTACCCAGCGTCGCCGCGGGCACTCTGGCAAAAGAGTGTTCATTACAAGTCAAGAGCAAAGTATGCCACCACGAAAGGATTGGGACACTT